GCATTGTTTTCAGGCCATTCCCCCTGTTACATATTCCCCACTGTCAATTTTAGGCTTCCATATCTATGAGAGGAGGCATGACTACACTGTTACATTAACACAATACTATTATATGATCCATAGTCTAAGTTCAAATTTTATTAATTATTTCAATGATGTCCCCCCCCTTATAGCTACATATTTTTCCCCTATCCATTATGTCCAGTATGTAATCCGGGATCAGGCATTGCATTAATTGTCATATCTGATTAGCCCTTAATTGGAACAACTCTTCAGTCTTTGTGTCTTTCATGATCTCGCCATTTTTAAAGAGCATAGAACAGGGAATACTGCGTCATAGAATATTTCTCAATTTTCATTTGTCTGATGGTTCATCATGATTAGATAGATTAAGAAGATGCTTTTTTGGCAGGAAAAACATAAAGGTGGTGTTGTGTCCTCCTCAGTCCATCGTATTGGGAGGCACATAATGTTTGTATGATTCGTGATTGGTGATATTAATTTTGATAACTTGGATAAGGAAGTGTCTGCTCGTGTGCTCTACCATAAAGTTACTATTGTTCACTTGTAATGAGTAAGTAATTTGTGGGTAGATACTTTGAGACCATTTAAATATTCTGTTCCTCATCAAACTTTTACCCATTATAATTTAATATCCATTGATGATTCTTAACTAAATCAATTATTATTCTGATGTTTGCATGATAATGATTTTCTAAATTCATTATCCTTTTACCTCTATTACTTGGCATATTGACATAAAGAATAACCTATCTTTCACCTCTACTTATTAATTTAGTAAGATACAGGAATTCTTTTTTATTTAAAGGGGTTATAATCCATTGATATTATTATTATTATTATTATTTGCAGTTTTTGGCCAGGGTTGAGTTTGAACCTGCCACTTCTGGCATATGGGGTTGGTGCCCTACTCCTTTGAGCCACAGGTGCCACCTGATATCACTTTTAAGTTTGAGGCTTAAATGTTCCAAATGTGTAGTCTTTGGGAGCCCGCTTTCAGTGTGCTTATGTGAACTTCTGGCATGCTGCATCATTCTTTGAGAATTTCTTTATTTTCTGGTACAATAAGTTGTTCTAGAATCATCTTTTTCTTTCTCTGTCCCAATGTTGGAGTCAGCTTGAAGGAGTCCTAATTCCTTTTTTGGTGAAGAGTGATATTTAGAGATTAAAATCTAGGCATTGAATGTGCTCATTTTGCTACTGGAGTGCCATTGTGTCCGGGCTCCATAGGGCTAGGAAATCTCTGTGTCTGTCTCTAATATGTGAATTCCTATTAATACAGCCAACTCCACTCTAACACTGGAAGGATCATTTTAGTTTTTCTCCTTCCTATCTTTATAGGTCCTTTCTCCAGGGAAGAAGTGTCACACTATCCTCCTTGTGTGTACTCATTGGGTCAGGTTTAGATTCACAAATAGCAGATTGGGAATTGCTGAACTTACCACTAATAAAGAAAATTCCTACTGAATTCAAGACCAGCCTGAGCTACAGTGAGACCCTGTCTCTAAAAATAGCCAGGTGTTGTGGCGGGTGCCTGTGGTCCCAGCTACTTAGGAGGCTGAAGAAAGAGGATCACTTGAGCCCAGGAGTTTGAGGTTGCCTTGAGCTATGACACCACAGCACTCTACTGAGGGCAACAAAGTGAGACTGTCTCATAAAAATAATAATAAAATAAAATAAATAAAAATATAGCTGCTAACCAATGTTATTTGTTAACTGATCTTTTTTGTCTTTTGACTGAGGGTATATAGTCAAAAATAGTAATTTTTTCCCTTTGCTATGATTATGTTATTCATTTGAAATACATGTAGGTTAACTTATTTCTATTTATAGTCCATTTAGGTTCCCCCATCATTATTGTTTTAATATCATCATCAACATTATCATCATTGTCATTGTGTGTGAGTATATGTAACATTAACATGGTTCCCACCCCCCAAATCATACAAATAGATATATTTAGGGGACTGTTAAGCTTCTTTCCTTAGCCTGTCTACCTTGTAAATTAATGCAGCCTCCTTAGTTTTTGGTATAATCTTCCTGTTTTCTTTTGGTAAACAGAAATATATACATTTATACGATTTCCTTTTCTTTGTTACACAAAAGTAGCATACTATCTATGCTTTTTTGCACTTTAATTTTTTTGATTGGCAACAAATGTCTCCTGGAAATCTCTGCATATCTCATCTTCTTTAGTTTTTACTTACAGCTGCTTAGTATTCTCTTGTGTGACTGTGCCATTGTTTATTTAACCAATCTCCTGTGTATGTTTTTCCTCAGTATTTTTTCATCAGAACCTGTGATGTACCTTTGTCCATAGGTGTTTTGTTAAGGGTATATCTCCAAGGTAAACTCCTAGAGTTGGGGCCAAACTTCTGTATTGTTTTGCTAGGATTTTGTCAGATTTCCCTCTTTCACGCTGGGGAAATTGCTACCAACAGCGTTTGACAGTCTCTTACCTCATGGCCCTATCAAGAGCATGTGCTGTCGAGTTTTGTAATTTTTACCAATCTCACAATTGAAAAATGGTATCTCAGCAGAGTTATGATCTGTGTTTCTCTTATTATGACTGATGTTGTCCATCTTTTTATGTATTTAAAGAGCATATGAATATCTTTCTTTGTGAATTGTCTGCTCATCACTTGGGCTTAATTTCTTGTATTGGAATCTTGATCTCTCCCCCTCAATTTTAGAGCTCCTCATGTATTGGGAATGGATGTTAACCCTTTGGATGTATGTTAATCATGGTTATTTTAAAGTCTAAGTTTGCCAGGGAGCGGGAGGGGCGAGGGTAGGGGAGGATGGGTGGAGGGAGGGTAATTGGAGGGACCACACCTATGGTCCATCCTACAAGGGTACATGTGAATCTTTCTAAATGTAGAATATAAATATCTTAACACAATAACTAAGAAAATGCCATGAAGGCTATGTTAACCAGTTTGGTGAAAATATTTCAAATTGTATATAAAACCAGCATACTGTACCCCCTGACTGCCTCAGTGTACACAGCTATGATTTAATTAAAAAAAAAAAGTCTAAGTTTGGATCTGTGTGACTGGTTTTTATTGCCTTTCTTTAAAAAAAAATTCTTTTGGGGTTTGATCAATTTCCTGGTAGGCCTTATCGTTTTGATTGAATACCAGACTTTGTTTATAAGATGTTGTGAGGCTCTGGAGACAATATTTTCCTCTGGTGATATCAATAATTTAGTGCTTTACTGGCAGACAGGTGGGATGGGCAGATAATCTTGCTCAGGGCTGGTCAATGTAAGGTTTGTTTACTCTAAAGGAGTAGCCCCGGCTGAAAGTCTAGGGTTTTTGCCCTTCCTCCGCAGCAGTCCCGAAAGCTAATTTTTGTATCCTCAGCACTACGGAGCTCCTATTTTCTTAGACATTTAGCCTCCTAGCAGGTGCTTTCTGTCAGTTTCCTCTGTCCTGTTCACAGCAGGTGCAGTTTCGGAGTCAAGAAATGCGTCAAGGGGAAATTGGATGATCAATTTCCGCTTCTCTGCAGCTCCACTCTTCTCCGGGATGTTGGCCTTTGCATTTCTGTCTCCTTTCCCAGAACAGCAAAAGCACCACAAGCTGGAGGTTGCTGCTATGTCTTCAGCCTTTATTCCCCACACAGAGAAATGGCAGATGCCCTCACGAGAAAGAGCAGAGGCAAAGGCTCCGCTGTCCCCACGGTTGCAGCTTGTAGAGTCCTGCTGCCCTGATTATTCCTGATACCTTCCAACAGCTCCTCTTTTCCATTTTTCTCTAGCTGTTATAGTTGTTCTCAGAGGGGTGGGTTATTTTGATACTCGTGATTCCATCATAGCTAGTAGCAGCAGTCATTTTTCCACTTAGCACATTTTATTAAATCTGTATGGAAATGAGAAAACACAGTCAAATGGGCGAAGCGTTTTAAAATTGACATGAAAATTGGCTTGCTCACGTGCTGGTGGGGAGGGGATAAATTGGTACCCCCTTTCTGGAGGGCATTCATTTATAGCAAAAGACTTAACATTTCATCTCCCCTTTGATCCAGATATTCTGCCTCTAGGAATTTAGGTTAAAACGTAATCATGAATGCGTGGGAAGATGTATTTGTGAAAATTTCCATCCCCTGACCCAAACTAGAATCGGAACCCTAAATGGGCAACAGTGGGGGATTTGATACATTGTGGTGCTTCATTGCAGTGGAATATGATGGAGTTCACAGTTGCAAATGATGTTGAAGACTATTTAAACATTTTAATGATCCGTCACGAAGTGCAAGAGATTATAAAACAACTACCACAATCCCATTTAAAAATGTGTCCACAGATATATAAGGCTAGAATAATGGCACATGGAAATGTTAAGAGTGGGTATTGTTCACTTCTTGGATGGTTTTCCTGTGTCTATGCATATTTAAAAATTTTTCTATAGGGAATGAATTTTGTTCTAAAATACTAATGTACTTAAAAAAAATCCTTTATAACTGGTAGGCCCAGTTGATAATGTTTTCTGGCAAACACCTGATTTTATACCGATTGCCTGGGCTCTATTTTAATACCCTTAGCAAAGTAGACTTCATCAGAAACAGTACTCTCCTTGAAAATGCTTTGTGGAATAAAAGACCTCCGCACAAACATACTTTAAATCCCCACTAGTCAAATTAAACAAAGGCGTTCCCCTGTTTCTGGTGAGGAGTCCTTTAAAAAAGCAAATTAGTTCATGAAAAAGACCTGGATTATAAGGGAAGACTTATTTCCTAGAAAAAAATATGTGCAATTTCTGGGCAGCACCTGTGGCTCAAGGAGTAGGATGCCGGCCCCATATGCCGAGGGTATGCGGGTTCAAACCCAGCCCTGGTCAAAAAACTGCAGAGAGAGAAAAAAAAAAGTATAATTTCCTTTTGCAACCAGGGGCCAGAAGTGAATGCAGTTGGCTTTGTAAAACTCAAATTGTGATTTCTGAAGAAAATTCTTATCTATTGTTACATTTTTCTTGAAGGTACTCTCTTCAAAGCCGCAGTCCCCAAGGATGACCTCTGGGGTTGTGAGGTGGTTTCCTAGGAATGCGCGTTCCCTGGCAACATCATCAAAGAACCGGAGACCTGAAGATTGTCGTTGGCACCATGAGGCCTATGGTTATTTCTTGCCCATCCAGACGAGGTGGCAGGACAATGACCAGTACGGCCACGTGAACAATGCAGTGTACTACAGCTACTTTGACACTGTTATCAACCACTATCTCATCAGGTAGGCTTGGGGTCTGCAGCCCCACATCCTCACTTTGGCCTCAGGTGGGAGTCCCCCTAGAGCATTCTGGGAGGAGATACCCAGCATCCCCCCATTTTCCTGTGCTAGTGGGCCTCTTCTGTTGAGCCAGAGGAGGACAGGAGGAGTGACATATGAGTGAGAAATGCGTCGCTCTGTTGCTCCTGCCGTCTCAGGTGTTCATATGTCTTGGTCCTTTGCACTAAATTGCCAGCAAATGTGTAGGCTTTGATTCTCAAATAAGCACCGACACGACACACCACAAACCATTCAGACCCTGTGCAACTCGAGCAGACATTAACATCAACCCTCAAGGCTTTTTCATGAGGAAAGCAGCTGCTTCCTCCACAGAGGGACACGGGGGAGGAGAGAGTGAAGATGTAAAGATGTTTATTTTATCCTCAGAGTGCTGTGGTGACACGATTGTCATCTGATGGGTACGTTTGTGAGATTGCTTAGCGTATATTTGGTCAATATAATTCTCTCTATAAAAGAATCTGACATATAGCGATCTGTGTAAATCCTAGTTCTACCTTGCATTAGCTGTGCGGTTGAAATCAAATTGTTTAACCTTATAGAGTCCTCTGTAAAAATAACTCATATACTGAGAGCTTTCTCTTTCACTATGATGCATTTTACACAGATGTTCTTATTAATTCCAAGATAATTCTATGAGATAGAAGCAGAGATTGTCAGTTCACTGCCTGAACTTTTGTGCCTGTCCCCTTTACCTGCTTGGCAACTGCAAGCACCAGCATTTCTTTGCTAAAGGACTTTCTCTGGCCACCAAAGCCCATCTTGTAGGCAGGCTACAACTGCCGAGAATTACTGTCCCAGCAAGCAGTCTTCACAGACTGTTGTGAGGTGTGGACACCCCAGCTTCCTCTCCTCTAATGTGAGATAATTCTGAGGTGCACACTTCACATGCGCCCCCACCTTTCCCTAGTGGAATTAAGTTCCAGTTACCCAGTTACTTTTTTTTGAGATAAAATTATAACATATGATTCAGTATTTTAACCCTTTTGAAGTATACAATGCAGGGGTTTTTAATATAGTCACAATGTTGAACCACTATCGCCACTAATTCTAGAACATTTCTGTCACCTCCAAAATGAAACAAGGTGCCTGTTAGCAGTCACTTTCAATTCCCCTTTCTTCCCTTCCTCTGCCAACCACTGATCTAATTTCTATCTCTGTGGATCTAACTATTCTGGACATTTCATGTAAATGAAATCTACAACAGGTAGTCTCCTGTGTCTGGCCTCGTCCACTTAGCATGATGTGGTCAGGGCTCATCATGGGGTAGAGTCGGCAGCATGTTGTGGCCTGTGTAAAATATAGGAATGAGTGAATGAAGTAGTGATACATCCTTCCCATGTGCTCAGTGCCCATCCTTCCCAGTAGGAATAAATGAAGTAGTGATACATCCTTCCCATGTGCTCA